GGCACTGGAAGAGATAAAGACTGTTTTTTGGTTGAAGGAAAGATCTGTCATCGCTTGATGTATTTGTGTAAAAAAAAAAAAAAAACATTTGAAATTTGACGTGTATTTTTGTATTTTTAAAGATTTTACTGAATGAAAAATGCTGAAACTGTTAAACATTAACAAATTATGCTAAATACATAAATAAAGAAAGAAATAAGCATGTTTACCATCTTCTCTGAAGAGTCTACAAGTAAACAATATAGGTAAGTGATGAATCAACACTTGTTTGAGTTCATTTATTCTGTTGAACACAAAAAGAAGTTGACCTAAAACCTGTAACCATTGACTTTCGTAGTATGTTTTCCATACTATAGAAGTCAATGGTTACAGGTTTTCAGCTTTTCTCAAAATATCTTCTTTAATGTTCAACAAATGAAAGAAACTCCAAGGATTGGAGGGAAAGTAAATAGTGAGTAAATGTTCATTTTTGGGTGAACTATCCCTTTAAGGTGCTTTATACAGTAGATGAACTTTAAAATCATAACGGTCATATAAAACTTTTGATATGTATACCACCTCTGTGGAATCAATGAGAAATGGCATGACAGATCTGTCATCAGTTACTTGCCTTTTTTTTCCTGTATGGTGGAAAACAAAAGGAGATGAGTATTTTCTAAATGGTAAAGAATTTTTCAAATTGACAAACCATCAAAAAGGGATCATAACATGGTCTGTGCAAAGTCCTCAGCTTCAGTAAAATGTCTATTATTTGATGCAAATAGCTCTACAGATTATCTGAATGTCTCATTTTGTGAATATACTGTAATCTCTTTAATAATACTTGAGTCTGCTTTAGAGATGGCAGTGGAAGAGATGTAAGGTGCTGTAAGATCATAACGAGACCTCATTCACACGTCTGTCAGAGGAATCTCTTTATTGCCATCACACTTTGATATTTTCAACTTTGAGTTTTTACTGACTGATTTGGCAATTGGGGGATCAAGCATTTGAATGTCCTACAAAATGATTTTCTTTACTATAATGCTTAATATGTGGTGGCTCAGTGGTTGGCACTGTCGCCTTACAGCAAGAAGGTTGCTGGTTCGTGTCCAGGCTGGGCCAGTAGGCATTTCTGTGTGGAGTTTGCATGTTCTCCCCGTGTTCATGTGGGTTTCCTCCAGGTGCTCCGGTTTCCCCCACAGTCATGCGCTACAAGTGAATTGAATGAACTGAACTGCCCATGGTGTATGTGTGTGAATGAGAGTGTGTATGGGGGTGTTGCAGTTGGAAGCACACCCATTGTGTAAAACATATGCTAGCTGAGTTGTCAGTTAGTTCCGCTGTGGCGACTACTGATGGATAAAGGGACTAATGCAAATGAAAATGAATGAATGAATGAATGAAGGCCCATACATACAGAGACATTATTTGCTCACGGTTTCCGCAGACTATAATTTTTCATGACTAAAAAAGGGTGTCAATGTTATCGTGCACACCAACGCGAAAAACGGCAGGTGTAAAAGTATCATTTTAAAAAAAAAACGCCTCATGCTCATTTTTTGGATTTGACGCGGCACGTCAAAACCTTTTCCACCAATCAGATTGGCACTTTTGTTCACGTGCATGGAGCTGCTGAAGTTACAGTAAACAGCACTTGGAGGTGCTCAATCACAAAACTGTCAGTGCGAGCACACACTGAAGAAGATGCTGGTGATATGAACGTGGAGCTGTCTTTTTTTTCCCATCGCTAGAGCTGGAGCTGCTACTTGAACCATCTCTAACAACAAGAATGTCAATTTTGTCTTCTTCTGTGCTACAAGCGGGTTTCAGGAGCTTAAAGTTGTGCAGCGCCATCTAACGTCAAGGAGTGATTTGCATACTCTTCATATGTATAGCTTAAACTTATTTGGCTTATTTTTAAAGTTTTACTGGTAAGAAAGTTGTCAAGACATGAACAAAATGTGAACATCCACACAATGTACTGAAATCAAAGAAAGTAATTTTCTGATTCAACTATGTCCCATGAATTATAATGTATAATTTACACATATAACACCATCAGATGTATTTTGCATCCAGAATAATGATTTATTTATTTATTGAAAAAAAAATGTTCATTTCTGAAATTATTTATTTAATTATATATATATATATATATATATATATATATATATATATATATATATATATATATATATATACATTCAGGTGCAACCATTAAATACCAATATTACTAATTAAATAATATTATTATGTTTTAAATAATATTAATAAAACAACAACAACGATAATAATAAAACAATAAAATAATATAATAATTAATAATAATAATAATAATAACAATAAATAATAATAACAACAACAGCAATAATAATAATAATAATAATAATAATAATAATAATAATAACAATAATAATAATAATAATAATAATAATAATAATAATAATAATGATAATAATAATTTGAAATGTTTCATATTCAAATAATTTTTGTAACCAGGTATGTATAGAGATTTTTGGGTGCAAAAAATCTGTAAAGGTATTTGTCCATATCTACACACTTAAAAAAAATAAATGTGTGTATTTGTGCCTATTAATTGCAGGATAAAAAGTAAATAGATTTTTCCACTTGAGAGTATGTTTTTCAAAGTTAAATTAAAAATTGAGTACTTGAAAACTTCTCAGGGTAATATTTATAATGCTTTTATCTTGTTTTGTTTGAAACAAATATGTAGGATTCATAAACTATGAGTCATGAATTCCATTATTTTCATATATATGATTAATGTCATATTATATGACTCTTGATTATTCCACATAAGATTAATTCACTAATTATTTTTCCATCAGCTTAGTCCCTTAATTAATCAGGGGTTGCCACAGCAGAATGAACCACCAACTTATCCAGCATATGTTTTGCACAGCGGATGCCCTTCCAGCTGCAACCCAGTACTGGAAAACAACAATACACTCTCTTTCACGCACACACACATGCACACACACGCACACACACACACACACACACACACACACACACACACACACACACACACACACACACACATACACATACACACACACACACACACACACACACACACACATACACATACACACACACACATATACACATACACACACTACGGCCAATTTAGTTCATTCAATTCACCTATAGCGCATGTCTTTGGGGAAACCGGAGCACCCAAAGGAAAACCACACGAACACAGGGAAAACATGCAAACTCCTCACAGAAATGCCAACACAATCTCACGGCAATTCGTAACTTTTTGATTTAGTGTCTAATTTGTATGAATTTTTTAAGATCTAATTTGTACAATTTAGTATGACTTGCTCATACCCCAATGACGGTTGGGTTTAAGGGTGGGGTTAGGTGCCACGCCTCCTTTTAAAATCGTACAATTTCGTACGAGTTCAGCCGGGACTCAAACAAGCGACCTTCATGCTGTGAAACGACAGTGCTAACCACCGAGCCACCATGCCACCCCCACATCAGATTCATTCAATCATTTTTTAATTTTCTTTCTAACTGAGTCTCTTAATCAGAGGTTGCCACAGCAGAATGAACTGCCAACTAATCCACCATATATATTTTATGCAACATATGCCCTTCCAATCGCAACCCAACACTGAGAAACACCCACGCACTCTTGCATTCACACACATACACTACGGCCAATTTAGCTAATTCAATTCACCTGTACCGCATGTCTTTGGAATGTGGGGGAAACCTGAGCACTCGGAGGAACCCCACATTAGATTCAATAAGGTTGAAAAAAAATTGACTTAGTAATTCACCTGAGAAATGTACAGCATTATGAATTTTAATGTGTTACATAATTCAATTCAACTTAAGTTTATTTGTATAGTGCTTTTCACAATAATTATTGTTGCAAAGTAGCTTTGCAAAAGGTGCACATTATTACAATACAGTCAAAATAAGAAGATTTAAAGGGATATTTTGCTCTAAATAGACGTCACAGTGGCACAGTGGGTAAACACAATCACCTCACAGCAAGAAAGTTGCTGGTTTGAGCCCCGGCTGAGTCAGTTGGTATTTCTGTGTGGAGTTTGCATGTTCTCCTTGTGGGTTTCCTCTGGGTGCACCGGTTTTGCCCACAGTTCAAAGACATGCGCTATAGGTGAATTGAGTAAAACTAAATTGGCCGTGGTGTATGTGTGTGAATGCAGGACTGTATTGGGTGTTTCCCAGTGTTGGGTTGTGGCTAGAAGGGCATCCGATGCGTAAAACATAAGCTGGATAAGTTGCCGATTCATTCCACTGTGGCGACCCGTGATTATTAAAGGGACTTAGCCGAAAAGAAAATGAATGAATGAATAAATGATTTTGCTCAGAAAATACAATTCTGTGATATTTTTCTCATCCTCAACTTGTTCCAAGCCTGTTTAAGTTCTTTCTGCTGTGGAACACAAAATAAGTTATTTTGAAGAAAGCTGGAAATCTGTAACCATTGACTTCCATAGTAATTGTTTCTCCTACTACTGAAGTCAATAATTACAGGTTTTCAGCTTTCATCAATATAGCTTTTATAGGCTTTAACAGTTAAAAGAAACATAAAGGGTTGGTTTTACTTGAGAAAAAGTAAATAGTGAGTACATTTTCATTTTTGGATGAACCTTCCCTTGTTGATTGTTGATTGGTGTTGTGGGTGCATTAAACGTATCAGCAGTTTCTCCTACAAAGAAAGTCAATGGTTACTGGTTTTTAGCTTTGATTAAAATATTTACTTTTTGTTCAACAGAAACTCAAAGGATGAGAACCTACTTAAGGGGGAGTAGTGAGTAAATGTTCATTTTTGAGTGAACTGTCCCTTTAAGGTGCTATACTGTATAGTTAACCTGCAGCTACAATATATGGCATCCTGTAAAAAAAGATGTCTACAATCTATGTTAGTAGGCTAATACATTTTAAAAGAATTGTATTTGTGTATATCATTAAAATTGTGCTGGATTTAAGAAGAATAAGACTGAAACGTAAACAAATCAATAAATAAACATGTTTATCATGAACCTCTCTGTAGAGTCTACAAGTAAACAACAGGAGTAGTTGATGAATCAACACTTGTTCGAGTTTGGACCCTGCAGCCTATCAGCTCTGAGCGCAGACCCTCAATCATGAAAGCGCTGAACCGCAGCCGCCCCCAGACGCGTGACGTGTCCGCCCGCTCGCAAAACACTGAAACCGGTGGATGCAACACGTCCCTCAGACTCTCCGGTGCTGAAGCTGCGCGCATCCCGGAGATTCCAGCACCCCGCGTCCTCTCACCGCTTCACTATGGATCATGACGCTTTTCGGCGCCTGGTGAAACTTCTCTTCGTTTCCTTCTCTCGCTTTAACCATCACCTTCGCGTCTTGACGTGATAGACTTGCTGTTTGACAGCCCTGGGAATCGGTATAACCTGAACACTCACTCTCTTTTTGCGGTATAGTTATGTCTGACTCTACAACTGTGCTGCTATTCGAACTGACGCTTTAATTTAGTTGCACTTTGGCTTCACCAATTAAATAAAAAACAAAAAACGCAGAGATTTCTGGAGTGAATTGACGCCTAAACGCGCAACTGGAGCAGAGCCAGTGCCATGGGTAAGACTATAAAGCAAAGAAGCATTTCTGTTGGGTTTATAAGTGGATTTCTGAGCGCGTAATGACCGATCTTTTTCACATGTTGACGCATGCAAATGTTTGAACTTGAATCATTTGTTTCAAACGCGTTAAGTGTGCGTTTCTGCAGTCGGTTTTTGCGCGTTTGTTTTGCATGCATTTCGATGGGCAATCAATTTCTCCATTCCTGATTTCAGTCATGTTTCCGTCCGTTCCACCTTTCCGATCATTCATCATCGCACGCATTACTCAAACCCATTGTCATTTATGGTGAAACGCGGAGCTCAAATGTAAAATCCCGAATGCTTATTATGAGACTTTTGCACAGAGTTAGCTTGATATCATACATATTTTTTTTCTAATTTAAATATTTAAATATATTTAAACAAAAAAATGCATTAAAAGCATCACTTTTTGTTATTTTTAGCAATATATTCTTTATTTATTTCTTTATTTATGTTTCCATATTTATACTGTAGTTTTCTGCTTATTTTCTTTTACTAAGAACATAGTGTGTTGTTGCCCACAGTAACAAGTGCAGCAATAGATGTGGGTTTTCTTATAGACCTGAGATGGCAGTTGGTGCATTAATTTTATCACCATTTTGGGAAATTGTCACTCTTTTGCCTTTATTTAACTCTAAAAACACAAACAATATTCTTAGCAAAGCATATTACTATTAGTAATTTAAAAAATCAGGACTTGATTTATTTACAGTATGAAATTGGCTAAATATATTAATGGAAGATCATCCTTGCATAGTAAGTTAATGATTTGTGATATTAAATAATATTTATTATCAGTACAATGTTTTTTTATATTGCCGAAAAATATGTAAAATAGGAACGTTTGGTGTTAATTGAGTCACCCTCAGTCCTTTTTCTTTTTTCGTTATAGCATATTACACACAAAACCCTCAAGGATCTTTTATATAATAATGATATAACAATCATAACAATCAACATAGTCCTGCAAAAATGCTGCTGTGGATTCCTGCGTGGCTCATCTGAAGATGTCAAATGATATTTCATGTCAACAACTATTACATTTTGCTTCATGAGAGGTGTGAGTCATATGGAATGAAGCATTTTCCAGTGTTGCATTTGGGAAATCCATTGGATTATGGCAGATCTTGCCTTTTAGTAGCTGATGCTAAATTTCCCAGTGCTTTTCCTTTGAAATCTGCAAGCACCTCAATCATCATTTGAATCAGTGGCAGTCATGTTACAGTCAATTAAAGGCTGTGTATTGCAGAGTGGCTCCATCTGTGGACACTGCAAATTCTTTTTGCTGGTTTTGAATAAGGTGTAAATTGACTTGCAGTACTTAGCATTTAGCAATTAATAAGATTGTTAACTATTTGTGTAAAACAAAAGTTCAGCTTTTATACACTGATGTCTAAATGTCTAAATATAAGTTATATGGTGCTCAACATATATGAGTAAACCCCTCAGAAATCTCTCATTTAAATTCATATTTATATAGAGAGCTTTACAATATTATATATATTTTTTGCATATACATTAGATTAGCCAGTACTGAAACTAGTCTAACAAAATAACATAAGATAATGGTCCAAAAATAGTCCACCCACATTTAAATGTTAGGGAAAAATATTAAATGAAGAATTTAAAAAGAGCAAAATTTTAAAGAAATTAAAAATTAATCCAATTTTGTTGAAATGTGAAGTTAGTAATTTATTTTCAACATTTCATAATTTAAATGTATTGTATGTATTGTCTTTTTTTTTAGGATATTCAGTGACTAAAATGTTGTTTTAATAAATATATCAGTTTAACAAATCAGTTTTGGTCAAATGCAACAAAATATTTGACCTATATTGACTAAGAAATGGATAAAAACATTCATTTTCAAAATGGGGTGAAATCATTTATGTTGAGCACTGTATTAACAGCAAACTATATAAAGCATAAGTATTCTGATATGGTTTTTACATGATATTAAATGCATAAAGTAGATAATGCAAAACATGTGATCCTCTAAAACCATAAGTGTCATAAATGTACATGGAAATGTGAATTTAGGATTTATACATCATATAAACGTTGATTAAATACACTTTCCATTGATGGATGGTGTTATAAAAGAGGACAATATTAGGTTGACATTCAAATTATGGAATCTGAGGGGTCGAAAAAAAATTGAAATACTGAGAAAATCACTTATAAAGATGCTTAAACTTAGTTCTTAGCAAAGCACATTCCTATTAGTTATCAAACATTAGGATTTCATATATTTACAGTAGGAAATTTGATATGAAATATATTTATGGAAGATGATCTTTGCATAGTAATTTAATGATTTATGGCCTTAAATAAAAACCAATAACATTAATGATCAATAAATTTAATTTTTTATATTTCCAAAAAAATTTAATAAAATAAATATATATAAATAAAAAGAGTATATATATATATATATATATATATATATATATATATATATACACATGTAAAATAAAATAAAATAAATAAAATGTGCTGTTAAATTAGTCTTTAGTAGCATATTAAATAATCTAGCTGAAACATGTTCTTGGTCATTTAGAAAATGTAAGTCAACGGCAATTAAATTAAATTAAATTAAATTAAATTAAATTAAATTAAATTAAATTAAATTAAATTAAATTAAATTAAATTAAATTAAATGTATTATTATAAACAGGAGCAGATTAAGATTGTCATATTTTAAGTCTATTTTTCTAATTTCTATTTTATGTTAGGTTATATACTAAATGACAACTAGGCATCTGTTCTTCATACCTCACTTAAATGATCTAAAATGATTTGGCAGATCCTGGATCTCTTAATCTTAATAACTGATCTCTGGCTAATTTGGATCTTCAAACAAGTTAGCGAATCAGATTAAAATGTTTGGATGAACTGATCTGAGATCGCTGTGTGTGTTGTGAAGGACAGATCCATCTATCCTTGAAATCATGATCAGCAATGCAACGATTGGCTGACGGCACAGCAGCATGATGACATCATCTGATTAATATTCAATTATCCATGTGAGCAAAATTACATCAAATTCATAGTAAACAGTTTGTTAAATATGATATGCAATACCTTTCCACATTTGTTGTGGGCTGCAGGCTTTACACTTCTGTCAAGAGTATTTAGCAATTTATTTAGTTTTACTTTTAGAGAGTGAATGTTCTTTATTATATTAGCCCAGGCCTATTTAATTGGCGTACAGAATAACTGGCTGTTTAACTTAATTTTGAATCAAAAAAACATTTTTCGATATTGGTAAAAGTGTGTGCAACGTTTGCAAAGTATCAAATGACTGGCATATTAGCTGCCAAAACATGAGGATAACTGCATAGATTATTAATCTTTTAAAAATAAATAAATGAAAACAGTTGACTATTGTCCATGTCTATTATTATACAGAAACTGTACTAAAGCTGGATCGATACCTTAAAATAGAATGCATTTGTATCCAAAAATTCCATATTAACATTTTTTTTCTTTGAACCCTTTGAGAAGAACCACCCAGTGACTGTTTTGTACTTTTATTTAGGAGTGCAGATTGCATAATTTTTATTTATATATTTATTTATATGTATATATTGCATGTTCTCCCTGCATTCGTGTGGGTTTCCTCTGGATGCTCTGGTTTCCCCCACAGTCCAAAGACATGCGGTACAGGTGAATTGGGCAAGCTAAATTGTCCGTAGTGAATGAGTGTGTATAGATGTTTTCCAGAGATGGGTTGCAGCTGGAAAGGCATCCTCTGCAAAAAAAACATTTGCTGAATAAGTTGGTGGTTCATTCCGTTTAGGCGACCACAGATTAATAAAGGGACTGAGCCAAAAAGAAAATGAATGAATGAATGAATGAATAACCTAAAGGTTACTATTGTAAGAAAATATCAGCGTTCAGGACATACTTTCAGTATTACCTTTACTTGAAATAATCTGATCTAATCTTGTTCATATGAAATACGCCTGCTCCCAAGCAGGTTTAAGCTACCAGAACTGTTGCTCTGACAACAACTCTCAAATGAGTTTTGAAGAACAAAATGATCCTGGATTGTGTCAAATTGTGAATCAAATCCAGGGAATTGAGTAATCCACGAATTATTAAAGGACCCAAGCACTTAAGAAACAAAACAAAATGCAAGCGCCACGTTTTACTTTAGTTTTACCTGCATGCATTATTTTTATTATTTTTTTCTAAACTCTGAAACTATGATAGCTGTTCAGTTTTAATGGTCAAGCACCATAATCTCAGCTGAAAAATAAAAAAGGGATCTAGATAACAGCATACTTTAATTTCAGGGATAATTACAGAACTGTCAAAAATATGGAAACCAGCATAGAATCAAAGATTGCACAGCCAGTACAGACAGGATCGATTTGAGCTAAACCTACTATTACAATTGGAAACCCTTTAACTATGAGAAGAGCATGTTTGTTAACCATAGGCTGTTAAACAAACAGAAACTGCTGGACGCGATGACGTCAGTAATATGCAAATTAACAAATGATGTAATCTAGTGACATTTAGCGACCTTTTCATTGAAAATAGCTGGCAACACTGTCAGTGACAAAGACAGACACGGATGAAGCTGAAATAAGGTCACTAAGGTCAAAAATACCAAGTTTGGTTGATGTATTTGTGGTGGAGTTTATTCAAGCCTTTCTGAAATGATGAATCACACACATATTAGCATTTACACACTGCGAAAAAAAGCTTTTCTTGCTTAGATTTTTTTGTCTTGTTTCTAGTCTAAACATCTAAAATTTCTTATATCAAGAAGCATTTTATAGACAAGCAAAAAGTATTGTTTTGAGAAATAATATGCCAATATTAAGTGAGTTTTTCCTTAAAACGAGCAAAATAATCTGCCAATGGGGTAAGCAAATTTATCTTGTTTTTTTTTTTTTTTTTGACGTAAGATTATTTTGCTTACCCCATAGGCAGATTATTTTGCTCGTTTAAGGAAAAACTCAC